AAGGATGAAAATGCTCAGTGCTAAGGTCCCCTTAGCAGGAGAGTGTCAAACACCTGCTGCCTTGTTAAAGGCCATGTGTCCATCTACCAAAAGGTTACCCAGGCTGGGCATAGCGGCTCATGCCTGTAATCCCAGCACTTTGGGAGGCCAAGGCAGGTGGGTTACCTGAGGTCAGGAGTTCAAGACCAGCCTGACCAATATGGTGAAACCCCATCTCTACTAAAAATACAAAAATTAGCTGGGCGTGGTAGCAGGCGCAGGTAGTCCCAGCTACTTGGGGGGCTAAGACAGGAGAATTGCTTGAACACAAGAGGTGGAGGTTGCAGTGAGCCAAGGTGGCACCACTGCACTCCAGCCTGGGCGATCAGAGCTAGACTCCGTCTCAAAAATAAAAATAAAAAAAGGTGACCCAGGAGTTCTATTTCAAGGCCTCTCCTATATGGAATATTACAGAGGGTATGTACCAGGAGGTTCAAGCAGCACCGTGAATACTAGCAAAACACTGGAAACAATCCAAGTGCCCACTCACAGGGGGCTGGGTAAACGAACCATCCATGCACAGGAACGAACTCATCAAGAAAAGACCGAGGTAGTCCTGTGTGTTCTGACACAGAAAGAGAGCCACCAATTTGCCAAGTGAAAAAATCAAACCACAGAAGCATAGAATAAGATCTCTTTTTATAGGCTGGGTGTGGTGGCTCACACCTGTAATCCTAGAACTTTAGGAGGCTGAGGTGGGTAGATCAGAAGGTCAGAAGTTTGAGACCAGCCTGGCCAACATGGTGAAACCCAGTCTCAATTAAAAATACAAAAATTAGCCTGGCATGGTAGAGCACACCTGTAATCCCAGCTACTTAGGAGGCTGGGGCAGGAGAAGTACTTGAACCTGGGAGGCAGAGGTTGCAGTGAGCCGACATCGTGCCAATGCACTACAGCCTGAGCAACAGAGTGAGACTCTGTCTCAAAAAAAAAAAAAACTCTTTTTATAAACCAAACTATTGTGAGCATGTACAGAGAGAGGTAGGTTTGGAAACAGTGACACACCACACTGAAGTGATTTCTTCTGGGAAGTGGGATTTAAGGAAGAAAGATGGAGGGTGCTTTCATTTTTTCACTTTATGCTCCTACGTTGTTTGTATATGCAGTACTTTTGCTCAGGCAATCCTTCCAACTCAGCCTCCCATGTAGCTGGAAGCCCAGGCACATACCACCATGCCCAGCTAATTTTTTGTATTTTTACTAGAGACGGGGCTTTGCCATGTTGCCCAGGCTGGTCTTGAACTTCCAAGCTCAAGCAATCCGCCCTCTTCAGCCTCCCAAAGTGCTGAGATTACAGGCGCGAGCCACCCCCCTAGCCTGTGCACACATTACTTTTGCAATTAGACAAAATGTTCGGTGGGTGCCTAGAGTTGGGAAGGACTAGGAAGAAACAGGAGCGACTACTAAGGGGTAGGGGACTTTTTTCAGGGCTGAAGAAAACGCTCTAACTCCCTACAGGTGGCAATGGCTGCGCAATTCTGTGAATATACTAAAAGCCACTGAAATGTACACTTCAGGTGAGTGAATTGTATGGTAGGCAAATTATGCCTCAATAAAGCTGTTATTTTTGGCTGGGCGTGGTGGCTCACCCCCGTAATGCTGGCACTTTGGGAGGGTGAGGTAGGTGGATCACCTGAGGTCAGGAGTTTGAGACCAGCCTGACCAATATGGTGAAACCCCCATCTCTACTAAAAATACAAAAATTAGCCAGGCATGGTGGTGCGTACCTGTGACAGGGGACCGAAGCAGGAGAATTGCTTGAACCCAGAAGGTGGAGGTTGCAGTGGGCCGAGACTGTGCCAGTGCCCCTGGACTCCAGCCTGGGAGACAGAGCCAGACTGTCTCAAAAAAAAAAAAAAAAAGATGTTACTCACAACTGTAATCCCAGCACTTTGGGAGGCCAAGGCTCCCAAAGGAGGCTTGCTTGATCCCAAAGGATTGCTTGAACCCAGGAGTTCAAGACCAGCCTGGGCAACATAGGGAGACCCTGTCTCTCTCTCTCACACACACACACACACACACACACACACACACATAGCTAGGCATGGTGGTGCACAGCTGTAGTCCCAGCTACTTGGGAGGCTGAGGTGGGAGGATTGCTTGAGCCCAGGAGGTTGAGGCTGCAGTTAGCTATGATGATGCCACTGCACTCCAGCCTGGGTGACAGAGCAAGACCCTGTCTCAAAAAAAAACAATGTTAGTCCATGGTTGTAGAGGTTGTATTGGGACTCTGAGCTGGCTTCAGTCTGGGGGAGATTTGTGGGGAAAATTTAGGATCATTAGGCCCTCAGAGCTGAAAGTAACTTCAGCCATTGAGTAACCCACCCACTTTGGTTCACAACTAGGGAAACTGAGACCCAGGGAGAGGAAGTGGCCTGCCCAAGGATCCTCAGGCCTCCCTGCTCCCAGGCCAGCGCTTCTTCCTCTCCGCCTGCTCCCTCATGTAAGGAGGAGGGAGTCACCCTCCCACCAGCCCCACGGGGCTCCCAGTGTGGAAACAAGCCTCTGCTTGCCAGGGGCTTTGAAATCCCAGGATGAAAGGTGCCGTGGCAGCAAAACAGCACCGTGGCCGGGAGCACGCCTGACCTTTGCCAGGACTTGCACGCAGGCTGGCATTCACCTGCTCACCTGCTCAGGGAGGGCACGAAACTGCAGGTCGAACCTCAGAGCCCTGACAGGCCTGGGAGCTCAGAGCACTGTGGGAAGGGATGTTCCTAACTCTGACATTTTTACTGGGGCAAAGAACAAGGCCTCAGGTAGGGAGGACTCTGGAATTTTAATTGCCGGCTTTGAGAGGACCTACAGCTCCTTGGGTGGGGTGAGGAAGGTGCATGGATCCCCGGAGGTGGCAAAGCGACCCCTCATTCCCCTCCAACCGAGATTCTAAGGCAGCTCACTTCCTCTGGAGGAGGCTGGGAGGCTTCCCGGCAGCCCCCTTCCAACCCCCCCACCCCACATCAGGAACTCCCCACAGGTGAGCCTGGACCAGGAATTTGAGGCATTTAAAGAGGGTTATAAATAGCACTGAAGTGTCCAGAAAAGAGAGGCCAGCAGGCTCTGAGTGGGCACAACCTTCTTCTGCCCAGCCTGATACCCAGAAAACAAATCCAACTCTCTCCAGTAAAGGACACTTCACCTGTGGTCTCGGTCCCCTCCCCTGTAACATGCCAGCGGACAGAGGGTGGGCTGACAATTCTCAGCCCAGGAGACGGGAAGACAGGCAGGCCCAGCACTGGGTATGAGGAGAGGAAAAACCCCACCGAACGGATGGTACACCCCACCCAGGCCCCTCGAAGGGCCTCAACAGGAGGTCCTGAATGGTAGGACTGTTGAAGCGCCCCAGGAGGTGGCTGCAACAGGGAGGGAACAGGAAGACTCCACCCTGGCCATTCCTCCTCCCAGAGTCCAGGCCTGGTGGGACAAGGAGGCTTTCCAGGACTTAACTCGGCGCTGGTCGGAGGCTACAGAGTCTGATTCACTTCCATATCACCCCAATCGCCCCTGTGCCCAGCCGGCTCCAGGCCTGGCACAAGGGAGGGACTCGGACCTTGGGACTTGGCTCAGGACCACAGTCACCCGGCAGGCCTCCCCAGCTCCTCCCTGTGCCCAGCATGGGTGGGGCCCTGGAGACATGGAGTTAAAGGACACCTGGCCACTGCTCTCAGGGCCTCCTGCTCTCAAGGGAGCGTGGCGAACACGGTGGTGAAACTCTAAAGGGCACGAAAGTAAGTGCAGGCGGACGCGGTGCTCAAGGCCCTCTGGACATCTAGAGGCGACCTACCTGAACAGTCACCCCAAGTATCAGTCCCTCTCCTATGCCAACCAATGAGTTACCCCACATAAGCCTCCCAACAACTCATTAATAAGAAAGAAATCACTGACCCCATTTCAAAGAGGAGAAAACCAAGGTATCCANAGAGGCGACCTACCTGAACAGTCACCCCAAGTATCCAGCCCTGTGCTAGGCAAACCAATGAGTTACCCCACATAAGCCTCCCAACAACTCATTAATAAGAAAGAAATCACTGACCCCATTTCAAAGAGGAGAAAACCAAGGTATCCAAAACAGATGTCTGGGAAACAAATGCTGGGTTTCCACCGAGGGCAGCTCCACCAGCCGGGAGGGCTCGGCCAGAGCGGAGTTTCTCAGGGAGCCGAGATCCTCATCCTATCTCCCCCTCCTCCAGAGTCTGTGGGGAAAAGGCCCCTGCTGCAGCTCCATCTTCCCCAGGAGACTTGGGGACAGCTGTCCTTGGGGAGAAGTGGCCACTGTGCGGTAACAGGCTGAGAGCAAGGCTGGGTGAAAGGCGGCGCTGAGGGGGCTGGCGACTAGCCCTGAGGGCCCCCCACTCTGGTGACCAGTCCCCTGGCCCCTGCTGCCTGCGCCAACTGACATGGAACCCCTCCGCCTCTAAGGCGCCCCAACAATCCCTGGCCCCACTCCCCAGGATCAGTCCCGGGCCTTCATTGGCCGGTCCTCAGGAAGCCTCCGCCACGTGTACCAGGGCTGGGGCCCGGCGGAGCTGAGGACGAGACGGCTGGGGAGGAAGGTGAGCGCGTGCTGGCGGGGTCCGGGAGATCCCAAATCGGGTAGCGGATGGGCTTGGAACGCTTCTGGGCAGGGACAGTCAAGGGTAGGCGGCAGGCTGCGACCCTTGTCCCAGCTTGGCCTAGGGTCGTGGGCTGGGGGTCTGCAAAGCTTGGGCTCCCAAGAGGTTCCAGGAGATAAGGGGCTCCAAGTCCTCTTGAGCCGGGAAAGGTGGCGCCCACAAGGGCGTGGGAAGGGGCTCCCAGGCTCGGAGGGAATGAGCTGTAACGCGGGGCACGCTCCCCGGCGGCTCCTGCCCGCCGGGCCTGACTCTCCAGAGCCCCCAGCCCCGGCGCGGACCGGGGTGGGGGCGTGGTCCGGGGGTTCCGGCTGGACCCCCGGAGCGCGCGGCGCGGCGCGGCGCAGCCCTCACCTGCGATGTGCTGGCGCCGGGCGTCGTCCAGGTGCGTGGACAGCACGTCGCCCATGGCCGGGAGGAGTCGTGGCCCGATCCGGCCGCCGCCGCCACTGCTGCCCGCGCTGCTCAGGCGGACGCCTTTGGCGCCATGGAGCCCCGCCCGCCCTGCTCCCGCCGCTCCCGCCGCCCCGACTGCGGCTTCCGCTCCGGCTCCGCTCCCACTGGGGCCCAGTCCCTCCCGCCGGCGGCCTCGGCCCCCTCTCTGCCCTCGGCCCTGCACCCCTGCGCCCCGCCAGGCCCCGCCCGCGGCCCTACACCCCTGCGCCTGCCGCGCCCCACCCCGCCCCCGCCCCGGCCCCGCCCAGCCCCGCAGGCCGGCCCCGCCCCCTCCGCGGCTTTGGGCGGGCGGGGCACAGGGGCCGGGGACAACCGGGACCTCCCGGCAGACAAAGAGAAGGTCCCAGAAAGGGAGACTGCGGAGAATGCGCCCGCCCTAGACCTAAACGAAAAAAGAGACGGGGCTGGTGGGAGCATCTGAAAAACTGGGGGTGCTCTAGGGGGCTCCAGCCTGAGTGTCACCTCCTCCCCTCCCAACCCTGCCAGCTCGGGAAGAGAATCACGCCGAGGAGGATGTAGAGCATTGGCAGGGGACGCCTGGGCCCACGAGCCGGAATTCGGGGTTCGGCCCCCTCCTCCTGTTCCCTGAACTGTGCCCCCTGCCCCCCTAGTCCCGCCCGCCACTGCCCGCGCTCAGGAAGTTCCCTGGCCTTGATTCGACCTGCCCCAGAAGGTGTGCCGCCCGGTCTTGCACAATAGCTATGGGAAGGGGGTGGGGAGGGCTCGGGCCGAAGGCATCCCGGCCCCAGTGCCAGGCGGGCTTTCCTCGGGCCCTCGGGCCCAGCATAGGGGCATTTCACTTGGGAGGCGGCTTGTGGGACAGAGCAAATCAGAAAAGGAAAAAGCAATAGTACTTTACAGTTTGCAAAAGACTACCGGAGTCCAAACCCAGAGACTGGCATGCACCAGCCCATGGAGCTGGGCATGGGTGGGTCGCCAGTGCCAGGGGAATGTGTCTCAGTCTCAGGACCTCCCAAGCTGGTAGGGGAGACAGGTTAACAAGTGGGATCCCCAGATCCCAATCCTTCCTTGGCTGCTGGTGCTCGGGTCTCCTGATCCGCATTGGGATAAGGTCATCCACTTTCTGCTTGTTTACCTCTGGTAGCTACTCACCACTTCTCCATGCATTTCACCCTGTTATTGGACAGCTCTTAGTGTAACTGTGACACACGGCAGAAAGTGATGATGATAACAGTTAAATTGCTGAGCACCTGTACTTCAGGCCTATGCACATCACAGGAGGTAGGTTTGAAATGGATTAAAGTGATGCAGGCGTTCAGTCATGCATTCAGTCACTTACCAGTCATTCAGCAACAGGTGGTCAACACCTGTGTGCCAGGCCCTCTCCTAGATACTGGGGGTAAAAAGAGGAGGAAGTCCAAGCTGCCCTCCTCTCTGTGACCCTGGACAATTGGCATTACCTCTTTGAACTTCAGCTATCTCATCCGTCAAAAGAGAATGACGCTTTTTGAGGGAGGATTAAATGAGATAACAAAACGCCCAGCATAGTGCCTGGCACAGGGTCCGTCATCTCTCAATAAACAGAACCTGTCATTCTATGACTCGTAGTCCCTGCCCTCTAGAGCTTAGAGAAGCTTGAGGAAGGAGCAAAACATTCTGTTTTAAGGAAAATCACGGAGGGAGTAGGACCGGAACTGGAAGTTGAAAAACAAGACTTTTGACAGCAGATACTGAGAAACAGCATTCCAGGGAGTGGGGACAGCACAGGCAGAGACCCAGCTTTTGAAGGGCAGAATGCATTCATGTGGCAAAAAGTCATCATCAGGTGGAGTTGAAGTCTGGCTGGCAGGGATCACTAATTTCCTTTCATACAGGTTGGAACTGAGGCCCAGAGAGGGAAGTGACTTGCTAAGGGAGAGGGAGAACAGAGGGAGAGGCAGAGGGAGAACCTGGCCAAAGGCACCAGTGTCTGATTCTCTGAACAACCAGAAGCAAATGATGCTGATAACCTCGTTTCATTTTTCCCACAGCCCAAACTGCAGGGTCTGCTCTGCCCAGGGAAGAGCTAGCCAGAGCTAGCTGGCATCTGGACACTGGAGGGAATCTCCTAGGCGAGGCTGGAGGCCTAGGCCAGGCTGGGTAGAGATGGGACCACAGCAGCCTTTCCCCAGCCTTCAGGGCACACCCAAGCCTGTGAGCCTAGAACCCCTACAGGCTCCCTGCCATGCAAAGCCCTGACCCAGTGACCCCAAATGGGGAGGAAACTTGAGCATCCAGGTCTCCTCTTGCTTTGGAGACCTTCTGTCATATGTCACCTAATCCATTAAGCATACATGGCCTCATATGTGAGAGGCACAGGAGATGAGAGTGGAAAGGCGGCCGGGCGCAGTGGTGCGCGCCTGTAACCCCAGCTACTCAGGAGGCTAAGGCAGGAGAGTCGCTTAAACCTGGGAGGCAGAGGTTGCAGTGAGCCAAGATCGCACCACTGCACTCCTGCCTGGGTGACAGAGCAAGACTCCATCTCAAAAAAAAAAAGTCTATGTATTGACTGAGGTGGTGGTAGTAGTACATATTTATCTAAATTTATCAAACTGTATGGATGCATCAAACAGACACATTTTATTATATCAAAATTACACTTCAACAAAGCTTATTTTATTTCTATTTTTGAGACAGAGTCTCTCTCTCTTGTCCAGGCTGGAGTGCAGTGGTGCAAACATGGACTCAGTTCAGCCTTGACCTCCTGGGCTCAGGGCTTCCTCCTGGCAGCCTCGGGCTACCCCACCCCGCTAATTTAAAAATGCTTTTCATAGACGTGGTGTCTCACTATGCTGCCCAGGCCGGTCTCCAACTCCTGTGCTCAAGGGATCCTCCCTTTTAAGCCTTCCAAAGTGCTAGGATTATAGGTATGAGGCACTATTTATTTTAAAAAGTGAAAAATATATATGCAACCACCTACTATGTGTTGGGTACTATTGTAGGTATTGGGGATATATCAGTATGGAAGACAGTCAAGGTCCCCGTCTTCATAAAGGTTATAATCTTATGCTGGGGGGAAAATACAACAAATGAATAAAGTGACTTCAGAGAGTAATAAACATTAAGATGGGAGGGGCCGGGCGCGGTGCCTCAAGCCTGTAATCCCAGCACTTTGGGAGGCCGAGGCGGGTGGATCACGAGGTCAAGAGATCGAGACCATCCTGGTCAA